GTTTATACTCTTCAGGGATGAATGAGTTAATTCATGTGAAAAATTCAGAACAATGCCTGAAACACAGTTGGTAACCCATGATCATTGGACTGATTCACAATGACTCTCTCTTAGGGAGTGTGGCCTTCCCAGAAAGAGCAAGTAGCTGTAAGCAGAGTTCAGCTAGGGCCTCAGCCAAAGTCAAGCATACCATGCAGGAGACAGACGGTTTGGGATTCCTGCAACATCAGCCCCCACCCACAGCTGGTGACACTGCTGTAAGTCTTCAGTGGTATGAAGTCAGAGAAGTTCCTGTACCAGCTTTTAGCAGAAACCAGGCATGGGGCACTTACTCACACTTCAGAGCGCCAGCACCCATTACTAATTTTCCCAAGAATCACTCTGCAGGCAACTTCCTCACAGCTTTGCTTCATTCCTAGAAACAGCTCTGCCTGTATTCAGAGCCTAGCACTACAAGCAGCCCTTTTGCTTTTACCCAAGTGTGCTTGGAGTTGTCATTCCTTAAGAATCTTAAAAGAGCTAGAAAATGGGACCCATCCATCTTCCTGATCTAAGTGCTCTGTTAATTTTGATGGGTGTTACCAACTTAAGTAACTTTTATATCTGACAGCATAATTCTACTCTGGAGGGCATACTCAAAGTAGCTAAGGGCCTTCCTTTCCTACTCAGTAACTTATACAAAGGTCTTTACCACAATAAAAGTGATAAACAGCTAACCTAAGTGTCCATCAGTCACTGAATGACAGAGCAAATCAGTGTCTCAGCCCAAGGAAACCCATACAACCCATAAAAATAACTAGAAACAACAGCAATCATTTTCAAAGCATTGGCTATCGATGAGAGTTAGTGTAATTTTATATTCTCTCATTGGAAATGTCTTTACAAGATACTTACTTTTCTTGCACAAAAACTGGGGGCTTAGAAAGGATTAAGCAGCAACAGAAAGCTTTCACCTACCAAATGGGGAACTTTAAACAGGTAACCTCTGTGGGCTCAGTTGTCTCATCTGTAAAATGAGGCAATAATACAATACTCATATTCAAAGATTGTTACTCAATCAGTTATCACATCTAGAATTACTTAAAGTTGTTCCTGGTGTGCAATAATAAATACTATTTTTTCTTGCTGTAAGCCACAGACTTTAGTCACATTAGTCTATTGATTTTCCCCCCTAAATACTCCCTTGTCTTTTCCACACATGTTCATCTTTTTAAAAATATTTATTTTAGGTGCTTGGAGAGATGGCTCAGCAGTTAAGAGCACTGGCTATTCTTGCAGGACTGGGGTTTGGTTTCAGCACCCACACAGTGGCTAACCACCATCTGTGACTCCAGTTCCAGGGGATCTGATGCCCTCTGCTGGCTTCTGTAGGCATTATATGCACAGGTACACACACACACACACACACACACACACACACACACACACACACACATAGGCAAAACACTTATACACTTAAAAATAAATTTTCAAAAGATTTATTTTATTTATTTATTTAGATACAGGGTCTCCCTGTAGCCCCAGATGGCCTGGAACTTGCTCTGTAGACCAGGTTGGCCTTGATCTCATAGAGCTCTGCTTGCCTTTGTCTCCTAGGTGCTGGGATTAAAGGTGTACACCCAGCTTTATTTTTAATTATGTATATGTGCCTGTGTGTGTATATGTATAGTGCCTTCAGAGGGCAGAAGAGGGGGTCAGGTTCCTTGGAGGTGGAGTTATAGGCAGTTGTAAGCTGCCAGACACGGTTGCTGGGAACTAAACTTGGGTCCTCTGCAAGAGCAGTTCAGGCTGTTAACCCATAAGCCAATTTTCCAGGTCCTTAGAGCAGAAATTCTATCTCTGGCTCTTTAAGGTAAGGGATATTGATTTACTTGATAAGTTAACCCAGAATCTGTGTCTAAAACTGGTCATGTTAATAATGTGAGCTTATGTAACAAAGTTCAAGGTGACTCTTTATAACTCATTTGGGATTCCTTTCCTGTCTACTTCAATGCTGACTTCTAAGAACACCTAAAGGACTCAGAGCTTCCCCCTCCGAGTTTTGCAGCCTCACACTCCACCCACTCCTTTCTCACCCATCATCTACAATAATGCTGCCATAAATACAAGCCCCAGAGCAAAGTGGTCCTTACCATATAAAAGGTGCAGGGCCATTATTATTACTAGTAATACTGACAGAGCTTGCCTTTACCAGTAACTACTGGCAGGAACCTGTCCAGTAATAAGGAAAGATACCATTTTCTCTGTCCTTCCCCTTCCCGTCTCCCTTTCAGGAGAAATATTAAACTACACAGATTAGGAAACACGTATAAGCTCCCAATTGGGAAAAGACTGTAAAATGGGGCAATTTAAATTTTGGATCATTTTGAGAACTTGGGAGATTTGAGTATTTGTCAAAGGGATAGAATTTGAGCAATTCAAGAACACTGGGTTCTCAGAAGCCTAGAAACACAGGAAGAAAACTTGTCTTTCAACACACTGCCTGGAAGTCTCAGGCCTATGACAGAGATCTCCCTTAAGGGCTAGATTCTTTCTCCTCTTACCAGTCTAGTCCCGCCCCCTCCCCAAAATTGTAGGTTTGTAGTAGTTTGACTATTCACTTAACGTCTAGGAGCCTGGGTTGGTATGCATACCTGTAGTTGGGAGGTAGAGGCAGAAGATCAGGAGTTAAAGGTTACTCTTAGCTATAAAGCAAGTTCGAGGCCAGCTGGGGCTACAACAGACCTTCTTTCAAAATGAGTATTAAATAACAAACAAACAAACAAACAAACAAAAGGGTCAGGAACTTGGGATCAGCTCAGTGGCAGAGTACCTGTTTGGTAAACATGAGGCCATTCCCAGCACCAAAAAGAAAAAGGAAACAGTCTACAAATAGATGAAAACCACTATATAACTTGACAAACTTCAGTCAATGTTCAAAATTTATCTACAACTCCCAGAATCTACCCAGCATCACAGTGATGCTGACAGTAATGCTGTGGGCCAAAAGAATTCTGTCTCCTCCTTATTTTCTAGCGCAGGGTTTGGAGGAGAATCACCCTCAGACGGGCTCTCTTTCTCCACTCACTGCTCTCAGTCCCATTCACCTGGTGTGCAGCCAGGCCCCTCTGCCTCTCCACTTTCTTATGAGGGGCAGATGCTGCCAGGTAAAGTAAGAGACAGCCAGGGCCGGGATGACTGCACTTCCTCTCTCTCCAGCTGCAATTACAGCTGTGCCATGATGAAGCAGTAGAGGGGGAAAAGGGTAGAACAAGCCTTCCACGTCTCCTGAGGTATTTCATTTCCATGAAATCTTATCTGCACTGGGATTCGGGGAAGAGGTCAACTGCTGCCGCAACGTTTTGAGGAGAAGGTCCTTTGATTCATACTTCAAAATTGGGAAACAGAGTTATTTATTTAAGGCAGTAGTTTTCAAAGCTTTTTTTCTTTTTCTGTGATTCTGGGGATTGCAAAATCCAGGACCTTGTGCTAGGCAAGAGCTCTGCCACTGGCTATACCTGTAGCCCTCAACTTTAAAAAATACTTTTAAATTATATTTTTATTTATATTACTGTGTGTGTGCATGCCACAGTCTGTGTATGGATGTTGGAGAATAACTTGCAGGAACTGGTCCTCTCTCTCCACCATGTCGGTCCTGGGAACTCAGATAATCAGGCTCTGTGGCAAGCCCCTTTACACACTGAGTCATCTCATTGGCCTCAACTTTCTTTGTCTCCCTTCTTTTTTAAGTAGGAGAGCAAATTTTTTAAAAAATTTTATTTATTTTTATTTTATGTGTATGCATGTATTGCCTGCACAACGCCAGAGGAGGTCAGAAGAGGCTGTTGGATCCCCTGGGACTGGAGTTACGGACAGTTGTTAGCTGCCATGTGGGTACTGGGATTCGAACCCGGGTCTTGTGCAAGAACAACCAGTGTTCTTAACTGCTGAGCCATCTCTCCAGCCCCAGCAGAGCAAATTTTTGTAAATGAAATCTCTGTGTGTATATGTGGCACTGGGATGGAACCCAGTGCCCCATGTGCACTAGGTAAGCACTCTATTGTTGAGCTACATCCCCGGCTCTATAAAAGAAATCTGACATTGGAACCTTGCTACCTTACAGATAAATGCGGTATTCTCCTTTTAGCCAGGGTGAGGCACCAGGGCTCAGTCCTCCCATCTACTCTCTCACCTTTCAAGGGAGCCTCTGACAACACTGAGGAACACAACTGGTTGAAATGAAAGGAGGTTACCATTTAGGCAAACCAATAAATAAATGGGAAGGAAAGTGGAGGAAGAAGTGGACTCAAAGTCGTAGCATTTTACAGTAAAATGCACTGCAAACAAGAGCCATCGATGCTGCTCAGCAGTCTGAGAGGCTGAAGCTATCTACAGTCTTCTGGTACACAGACCTCAGCAACGGTGCTCAAAAGGCAGAGGACACTTTATATGAAGGAGAATATCCTCATTCTTAGGAAACACAAACTGGAGTTGCATGGCCTAAGGAGGGTAGGGTGGTGCAGCCTTCTCTCCAATATCTCAGGAAATAAACGATATGGTCTGGACAGAGTGAGTGAGCAGGAATTCTCAAAGTAGGATCTCTGGAAGGGCATCAGGATCAGTCTGAGCTAGTTAGAAATACTCATTCTTGGGGCTGGAGAGATGGCTCAGCAGTTAAGAACACTGGTTGTTCTTGCAGAAGACGCAGGTTTAAATCCCAGCACCCACATGGCAGCTAACAACTGTCCGTAACTCCAGTTCCAGGGGATCCAACAGCCTCTTCTGACCTCCGCGGGCACTGCACGACATGGGTGCACTTACCTACATGCAGGCAATATACACATACACATAAAATAAATATATATATATAAAGAAATATTCTTGGGCCATACCCCAAACCTGCTAAATCAGCTGTCTGGAGATGGGAACAGTACCCTGAACTAAGACTGTGGTGACACCAGCACAGAGGCGGAGCAGGGTACCCTGTCTCCTTGGGGGAAGCTCTGGGTGGCAGTACGAACCTGAGTAGGAGAGCCCTGCAATCTCGAGGAAGAGGTCTTCTTCAGAGAGGCTCTCAGGGAGCATGAGGAAGGCGGCAGTCACAGCGCTCTTTAGGTTTCTATCCAGGGCAGATCGAAGAGCCGGGTTCTCATTCATTGCTACAATTTTCACCTGGAAAAGAGAAGATTCAGAGGAAACAGCCCAGAAGTGGGGCAATGCTCAGGCTGTGGGTTTATACACACACCCTGCAACTGTCCCCCCCACCTCCAATGAAGAGCTTGGAATAGCTGACACAAAGCAATCATTGCTCTAATGAACAATCCCAAATTCTCCTCCATTTTAGGCCAAATCAGAGAAATCATGACACAGGAAAGGATCATAATTTCAAGGAAAACACAATTAAAATTGTTTCAAGCCGGGCATGGTAGCACACATCTGTAGTCTCCCACTTGGGAGGCAGAGGCAGGTGGATCTCTGTGAGTTCAAGGCCAGCCTGGTCTACATAATGAGTTCCAGGCTAGCTGGGGCTACAGGGAGACCCTGTCTCAAAAAAACCAAAAAAAAAAAAAAAAAGTCTGTTTCAATGAGAAACTCACTCAGGCTTTGAAGAAGAGTAACTGCCCTCTGAGAACTGTACAAATTTTAACTTTTGTAATTCCACTGTTCTTCACCTAATTTGCTAGAGGAAGATGGCATTTTACTTTTTATTTAGAATTGGCCTGTCTTCTTACCCATATGTAACCTGGACATTTTATATTTTCTTTTATGATTGTTAGATACAGAGAAGACAGGGTCTCACTACGTAGCTCTGGCTGGCCTCAAACTCACTATAGACTAGGCTAGCTTTGAACTCGGAGATCTTCTGCCTCCTGAGTGCTGGGATTAAAGGTGTGCCATGGTGCCTGCTCTAGATACATAGATTCTATACTTAAGGAAAAAGAAAGAAATCAGCTACAGAAGAAAAAACATGGGTTTTGAAACTATATCTGGAGTCAAGTTGAGGAATTTACTACCTATGTGTGTTTGGGGGGAAAATGACTTAACTTCTCAGAACTTCAAGTCCTTATAGACAGATTTGGGTCCAGAACTGTCCCCAAGGTTGATTATGATAGCAAACATACAGTTTATGAAGTACATGCAAACCACCTTGCTCAGTGAAAGGCCCTTCCTCTTACATCCCAGCAGGAGCTGCTCTTAGACTTGTCCCAAGTGTACTGTAACACAACAGCTAGTTTGAAGATTGCCCTGTGGGGGGTTGGAAAGGTGGCTCAGCTGTTAAGAAACTGGCTGCTCTTGCAGAGGACCCAGGTTAGGCTCCTAGCACCTACATGGCAGTTAACAACAGTCCTTAACTCCAGTTCCAGAGGATCCTACACCCTCTTCTTACTTCCTTGAGCATAAGGCACACATGTGGTGTATATACATACAAGCAGGCAAAACAGTCATACACACAAAATAAACTTTAAAAAAATTGCATTAGAGTTAAAAGGATGTGTTCAAGTCTCAGTACTGTCTCTTCCTAGCACAGTGATGGGCGTGATTCTTTATCAATAAAATGGGGTTAATAATGAATCTCAGAAATCTTCTGGGAAGATGAAATGAGATACTACGTAAAAGTCAGGCTGACTTGAACATCCTTGTGTTTCTTTGTGCATAATAAAACGTTTCTCTGGGATTTTCTCAGGTTCTTATCTTGGCCTAGCATTAACAATAATTACTTAGATATTATTAGACCCAATCCTGAGCTTCTGACTAGGCAGGCCTGGGTGAGTCCTGAAACTGAGCCATCAGCCAACCTTCCAACGTTCTTACCTATCTGCCTTTTTTAAAAAAAATATTTTATTATTTTTATTTTATGTGTATGAGGGTATTGCCTGCATGTGAGTGCACCCATGTTGTGCAATGCCATGGAGGTCAGAAGCCGGCTTTGGATTCCCCTGGAACTGGAGTTAAGGATAGTTCATAGCCACCATGTGGGTGCTGGGAATCAAACCTGGGTCCTCTGCAAGAGCAGTCAGTGCTCTTAATCCCTGAGCTATCTCTCCAGCCCCTAAGTATTCTTAATTCCCCACAGTGGGAAGGTTGTACATTTGGTATGTAAGCTGTTATGTACTACAAAAAAATTGTTGCAGGTGTTTGTTAGCCACCTGATGTAGTGCTGAGAAATGTGGGTCCTCTGGAAGGGCAGTGAATGCTCTTAACCACTGAGCCAGGCATCTCTCTAGCCTGTTCCATATTGCTGGCCTTCTAGTCTGAAGATGCTTCCGTTCTCTTGAGGCAAATCTTGCTGAAACTAAAGTTAAAATTCCTAGAAAGCTTTACCACCTGGATGTTTGAGTCACATTCAAGCTGCCATGTTGTTCTGTTTTGTTTTCTTTTTGGAGACATAATCTTGCTAAATAGCTCAGGCTAGCCTCAAACTTGTGGCACTCTTCCTACCTCTGTCTCTCAACTGCTAAGATTAAAGTTGTGTGTTACCACACCTGGCCCTCTAAAGAATAACATACAAGCTTCATATATGGCAGGTGAGGTGAAGCCACTTGATTTGAGATCACCTCCTCCACCCTCATAATTATGAGAACTTAATAGTCCTTAATTAAGCCTTTCAGCACTTGGGCAAGTTTAGCATTATTGCATTCATTTAGATAGTAAAACTAAGCAACAGCCCAGGAACATGATCAGCCTAAGGTTCTATGCTAAATCAACAGCACAAACCAGGGTTATACCATTACACCATGCAGACCAAGGTCTACGCATTCTGAACTGTTCCATGGATTCAGTTATAGATGGACAATTAACTTTTCAACTCAACAAAGATTCAAACAAAATCTTTTCCCTTTTCTTTTTTGCAGTGCTGAGGATCCAACCAGGGCCTTCCACATGCAAGGCCAACACTGTACCCCAACCTCCATTTTAAGGTCCTAAAATAATTCATGTTTATTCCCTAACTTCTTTAAATTTTTTAATATTTCATTTATTATTTTTATTTTATGTGTATGAGTATATTGCCCACATGTATGAGTGCACCCATGTCGTGCAATGCCAAGGAGGTCAGAAGAGGGCCTCGGATTCCCCTGGAACTGGAGTTAAGGACAATTCGTAGCTGCCATGTGGGTGCTGGGAACCAAATGTAGGTCCTCTGGAAGATCAGTCAGTGCTCCCAACCGCTGAGCCATCTCTCTAGCCCCACCTTTAAAAAATTTTTAAAAATAAGCTAGTGTGCGTGTGTTGGGGGGGGGTAATGTGTGCACATGCATACCACAGTGTACGTGTGGAATTCAGAGGACAACTTGAGGGAGTTGGCTCTCTCCTTTCACCATGTACATGTGGTTCCAGTGATTGAACTCAAGTTGTCAGACTTGGCATCAAATGCCTTTACCCAATGAGCCATCTCATTGGCCCCTTATTCTCTAACTCTCCTAAACCTTGTGTCCATGTGGAATCCAGGGCAATCTCCTCATCTCCCTGATGGGGAAATGGAGGGCTGGAGTGGCTATCTCTGAGAGAAGCAGTGCACACCAAAGCAGATCAGGTCAGGTCCTGCCCTGTCCTATGATGCCTATGTCCACATTTCTATTCTACTCATATCCTCGTCTACCAGATCCTTCTGAATCACTCTGAAAACTCTACTGTGTGTATTTCTGGGGCTTTTAGAGACACCTAGGTACATCAGAAGCTAGTTTGGGATGTGAATAACTAAAAAACTAAAAGTCTTTTCTTAAAAGAAAAGACTAACTTTGGGAGTATTATCCTAGTTAACAAAATACCACTTATTCTCTAAGAATGCTATTCTAAGTTGTAAGGAAACAGTCTGTTTGCTATTTAAGGTTAAGAAAGTGAAAATAAATGCGGCCTTACTCAAAGGGAAAATGTCAATTCAGAAGGCTCAGCTGCTGTGCGGATCTGCTTCTCCAACGAAAGGTGAACTAGGAACTGGTCTCAGCAGCAATGTTATTTGTTGTTCTGAGTGAAAAGCCAGTGAACACTTGGGGCACTGCCAGAGAGGCCTGGGAAAAGAAGAAAGTACTCAGATTTGTGAATAGCTGCTTGTACCTATTGGGAATGCCCTGAGCTGGGCTGCAATAACAATCTTGACTGCAGGGAGGAAGGGGCAACACTTAAAGTGCTTTCAAATGGGAGATTTGTATCTTTTAAGACAGAAAAAAAAAGTCACACACAGACTCCAGTTCCAACACAGTGACACACAGAGACTACTTGAATTGCAGAGTGAAGTTTTAGTCACAAAGGACCCAGACCTACATAATGCTGAAATACTAAGCATTTATCAGAACCTTTTCAAATGACCAGGAGAGGCAACTGCTCTAAATAGTGACTGCAGAGAAAGAGGACACACTGACTGTGAGGCCTTCCTCTCCTCTCCTCTCCTCTCCTCTCCTCTCCTCTCCTCTCCT